AATTATTGAAAAATGTGAAAATGCCGCCAAGCTAAGCACAGTATAAGTGAAAATGTCGCACAGAATTATTTGCAAATGCGTTTAGACTGTGACTATGCAGGAGAACTTTTTCAATTTTGTGTAAATTTGGCAACTATTTTTTTTTGAAATTTGATTCGAAATGAAATGACGATTATTAATGTTCTGGAGATGATAAATTGATTTATTTATAATTAACTTTCCGTAGGGTAAGTTATAGTAATCGCAAAAAAATCGAAAATAAAAATTTTTATATATCTTTACGTTTCAAAGGTTTCTGAATATGTTGGCATACCTTAGAAAAAATTGATTGTGTATGTGTGTGTGTATGTGTGTGTGTGTGTTCGGATACAAATTTTCGTCGACGATTTCGGGAACACGGATGAAGCAATTTGAATAATTCAAAAAACATTCGATTCGTATTGATAAGGAGACGTGCTGATTAGTTTTTGTCAAAGGCAGGTCTAGCCGTTCCGAAGATATGGGGCAAAAAGTGCCAAAAACGGTAACTCAGTTTTTAAGAGAACGGAGCGTCCGATTTGTATAATTCAAAAAACAATTCACTTGTTTGAACAAGATGAACACTTATCAAATTTTCATGAAGATAGGTCTAGCGGTTTCGGAGATCTAGTAAAAAAAACTAAAAAAAATACCATTTGGCGGTCAACAATAATCATTAGACATATGCATATCAAATTATCAGATATTTTATAGAGATTTTAACAATAAGTATAAATTTTGTTAACATTCCTATGGGTTCCGTACCAGTGTTTATCCGTTAGACGACGACGCGGCACCTACGCGCTTCGATATTTAGTCTCTTATACATTCAACATCACTCATATATTGGTGTAAATAGTAATTCGAAAACCAATAATGATTATTTTTAACTCAACGGTATAAATATTAGTATATTAAAAAAAGCGTAGATGTGGGTACAGGACAACGTCTGTCGGTTTATCTAGTATATATTATATATACATAAAGAACACACACATATATATATATATATATATATATATATATATATATATATATGATATATAAAATTTATTTAAACGAAGAAATATAGAGGGATCCTTTTTAACTATTTATAACAATAAGACAATAAATAAACGGAATGAACTCAACACGCTGTGCGACACAAATCTCTTCTATTTAGATAACATTTCCAAATTTCTTACAAAACAATAAAAGCGTTCGCGCAAAGGATTCGCAATTCGTTCCACACATGTGTAGAATCTTGGTAAAAATATTTTTTAAAAAATGTCTTTCTCCATTACATCTTCAACCAGTTTACGAATAACACACTATCCATTTGTGATTTTTTCAAATCAGTATTTTGTGAAAATATTGTGTAATTTCAAGTTAATGTTTATAATACATAGTGTAGTGCATTACCATATCCTAATACCATGGATTATTAAAATTTTCCAATTTAACACTAAGATCAACTAATTGTAAGTACTATTTACTATTTTATTTTTTCTTTTCACTCCAATTCAATTGTTTTAGTTTTTAATTTTATGTTTAGTTTCCACTGAATGAAGGCTAGGATTATAGCCGAAACGTATGGATTTAAAATAAATTTTTGAAAGAAATTCATGTTTTTTATTGATGTTATGCCCGATTAGACTTTGTTAATATATCTTCTTATATATAAAAATGGAGCTGTCTTTCAAATGTCCGAATAAAACTCGAAAACGGCTGAATGGATTTTGCCAGTCTTAGTCTTGAAAAATTCGTGCCAATCCAGAGATTGTCCAAAAGGTGAGATAATATTTCAAATCCGCGTAGAAACTTTACATTTTTAATTTGAAAATTTTTGGTAAACAGCACTTGATTCAAAATGGCTCCCCAAACAATATTATTCAAATGACAGATGTATCGAGTATCGCCTACTCATGTGTCAAATAGATGGTTGTCAAGTTGAAACAGATTATGTGTTATTCTTTTAATTTTAAAATTAAATTATTTATATATTTTTAAATGTTAATAAGAATGCTTATTTTGATTTTATATGAGGTTTTTATTTAATTCTCAAGTGTTTGCTCACTGCCTATTTGTATTCTTCTATCAACAGCTTGAAATAATACTATTATTATTGATTGATTAAGGCTTGCTTATGAAAAAATAAATAAATAAATTTGTTTCAAACGCTGTGCTGTGCAAATACTTATTGATTTAATGTGAATAATGCGTTACCATAACATTTTCTGAATTATATTATTATTGCATATAGGTTATTCAAATTGAGATCCTAAATTTGGAATTCATCGAAGGGGTCACCATAGACAGCGATATGAATAAGAAAATTGGATTATAACACAGATAATAATTTTAGAAATCATATTCATAAAAATTTCAATTATGTGTACATACAAGTACAAGTTCTTCGGAAACAAAGTTGCTTGAAAATTGCTTATGAAGATCACATTATGACATGTGACATCAACATAAGTGCAGTTTAATTAGATATGGAAGTAATCATTATAAATATTTACAGTACAATCTATTTACAATACAAATTTTTCATTAAAATTTTGAATAATGTGTTACCAAAACATTTTATGAATTATATTATTATAGCATTTAGGTTATTCAAATTGAAATCCTAAATTTGGAATTCATCGATGGGGCCTCCATAGACATTTCTGTCTAATTACTTATTGCAAGTTATAATAAACAGCAATATGAATAAGAAAATTGGATTATAACACAGATTAGTAATCTTCGGAAATCACAGATCTTCGGAAACAAAGTTGTTTGAAAATTGCTTAGCATCAGCAGTACGAACTTGCATTATATTACATGATTTCATCATCCAAATAGGTCGTGCACAGAAAAAAGTTTTTCCAGCATTCCAATATGCAATAAAAAAATTGAAATATTTTAACATATCCCACATACAGAATTTTCTTTATTTTGTTCAGATACTAATGCTGTTATTGATCGGGTCTTTTTCCAATTACTTCCCGAACATACTATTTACAAGTCATGGTGATAACAAAGATGCCACTAATTTGGATACACGGTTGCAAAAAAGGAAAATCAAAATAAACACATTGAAATTTATCACAATATGTACTCATGTTGGAAATGTACATATGTTCAATCAAATTCATAAAGGAGAAATGTTCATTTTATATACGTAGCTATATAACAATTCGGGGTAAAACGTTAACATGGCTGTACGGATTGGGCTCAGTCTTAGTTGCATAATTTTATATTCATTAGTATTTATAAAATATTTTCTAGATTATATTATTATTTTATTTCGATTATTTAAATTAAAAACCTAAATTTGGAATCGATTAAAGGGGACATTTTGTCGAATAACTTATTCCCAGATATAACAGACCACTACTCAAATAAGAAGATTCGGTTGATAATATTACTTTGGAACACACATCTGTAAAAATGTCAATGCACATAATTACAAGTTCTCTGGAATAAAATATTTTGAAAATTGATTATAATGCTCGCATTCAATTAAATGTATGGATACAGTTCGGGTACTAGAACAAGTATAGCAGAAAAATGAGTACAATTCTGAAGGTATTCCTTTCAAAAGATATGTCAAAATCCATGCATTTTAGACACAGTCAGGTATCGTGCATGTTTTATTAAATCACTCTACAAATTGAAAAAGATGAAGAACTTCAACAATCATTGGATAATGCAATGTAAAATATAATTTAATAATGGTTATTTTCCACTAATTTTGAAGAATAAACTGGAAAATTTTTCTATGAATTTATCGAAGAATGGATAGTAATATATGAAGATCTGGGGTTAATAAGATTCACCACCAATATCTTAAAAATTAGTAAAGTTTAGCATTGTTCAACAACAATATTTGAAAGTAGAGGGGAAATGATGTATAACCAGCTATAACCTTGATTCTTATAACTTTGCTATCAGGAGATAAACGGTAATCTCTGAAAATCCATAACAAAAGTATTTCCTTTTGTTGTTAGTTTTTTGGGTTATGAGCACTGTGATTTAGTTCACGAGACCTTAATGTAAATTTTAACTATTTAATTGTTTTATAAAATGTAATGTTAATTTTGAGTGAGATTCAACACTTTAAAAACTTACATCTGTGTGAGGCAAAAATGACCAACTGAACATTGACCACGGATAAAGATTAAAAAAGACTTGGATTGAATTATACCATATTTTTATAGAAAGTGTATAAAACTTCCAGTTTGATTGTATTAACAAAATATGGTCAAACGAATATTGTTATTATGAATTATATAATTTATTATTATACAAGTAGACTTTGAAGTTTATTGTGTTTATAATACCTCATTGTCTGTACCATTCAAATTATACATCCTACCACTCCTAAAATAAAGTATTCATTTTTTTATTCTTTAGAAGTCGCTTAGAAATACCTAACTTAGCAAAACAACGTTTGCCGGGTCAGCTAGTATATATATATATATATATATATATATATATATATATATGGCGGAATGAACACCATATGACAGATGTCAGTTGAATGACGTCAATTGATGACAAAACTAAATTATATTGGGCTACGTTGATTCGGATCTGGCATCAAGCAAGCTATAACGATCTGATTGTTTTTATACGATCGAATATTATTGTCGCGTGTTTAAAAACGATCGAAAAATATTGTATCGCGTTTTTTTCAACGAACGTTTTCTGGTGATCGAAATTGAGATTTGATTTAATGTCATATCAACATCTTTACCAATTACATTAATAAACACTCTTTATCGAGTTGAAAATAAAATTATTGCAATTTCATTCAAGAATTAATTAATAAATAATATATGGCCCACTAGCGCCATAATTGGTGACTCCGAACGTGTGTGTGAAATCGGTAAACAAGAGACATTCTCAACGTCTTAGTTCCCATAATTGGTGACGTCGGACGGAGAAAGGAAAACACTTGTCAAATACAAGTAAATTAATAAAGGTAAATTATACCAATATTTATCAACATGTCGACTCGATCTACGTTCATCAATGATGAAACAGCGCTCAACAGATCTCTGATCGATCTGGATCACGAGGCGATCTTTAACACGAGCAGTCCTCGTGTTTCTGAACATGAACATGACAGTTATGCTGATCAATACAATATAGCAGCATTTAACAATAACCGTCTCACTCCATTCAATGGAGATTCTCCAGACCTATGGTTTTTAGTTATTGAATATGAGTTTCAGTCTGCTAGGATCAGGAGTGACGATACTAAGTACACAGCAGTACTCAAAGCCCTAGACTTCGAGACACTGCGCCTCATCCAGGATGTCCTCCGTAATCCACCAATGACAGGCAAATACGAATATATCAAAAACACTATATTAAGCAGAATGTCTGAATCTAGAGGTAAGCAAATTGACAAGCTATTAAAAAACTTAACTCTAGGAGAGAAGAAACCATCACAGCTCCTACGAGAAATGATGAATTTGGCTAAGGGAGAGGTCAGTGAAGACATCATAATTAAATTGTGGTCAGAACGCCTGCCACACCATATTCGGCCACAATTGATAGTTTCTCGTCATCTTGGTCCGGAAGCCCTGGCGGAAGTTGCCGATATTTTGGTCGATCACTGTAGCTCCACATCTCATGTGATGTCCACAACACACAAGTCTTCAGTAGAACAGAGACTGGACCGCCACGAAACTCTTCTTATGTCATGCGTCCAGGAAATTAAGGAACTAAGGGCAATGTTAAACACTGAAAGACAAAGAAATGATCAACCAGAATCACAACTCAACCAGTCAAGATCAAGAAGTGAACAACTCAATCAGTCAAGTTCAAGAAGTGGTTCTCGACATAGGTCCAGGACACCTTCACGTGGATCGGTATGCTACTATCATTACAGATATGGGGAGAAGGCCACTAAGTGTGAAGAGCCCTGCCTGCTTAAATCTCTACACCAGTCAAAAAACTTACTTCACCGTCATTAAGTGGAGCTTTCCATGACGGTGAAGTAAATTCTGTCTGCTCTGAGCTCCGCCTTCATATATCAGACAGAAAGACGGCAATCCAATTTCTTATAGATTCAGGATCAGTTATATCCATTTTACCAGCCCATAAGTTCGCCAATGGTCATTCTAAGGAAGAGTTAGTTCAATTTGCAGCAAACTCTAGCAGAATATCCACGTATGGAAAGAGAACTCTGGAGCTGGATTTATCTTTACGCAGAAGCTTTAGCTGGCAGTTTGTTGTTGCCGATGTAGCCACAGCCATAATAGGAGCTGATTTCCTAAGCAACTACAATTTATTAATAGACTTGAAGGGTAGAAGATTGATTGATTCGACCACAGGCCTTACCTCTGATGGAAAGGTACTCAAGGCACAGCAAGTTAACATCTCCACTGTCAACCCGGCAGAGCACTTCAAGGATTTACTGGCACAATACATTGTAATAACAAAGCCACAGGTAACCACCAATAATAAAACTTCTCATTTTTCCCACAGGATAACCACAACAGGTCCACTATTAGCTTCCAGATTCAGGAAGATCTCCGGGGAAAAGGCTGTTGCAGCCAGGTCCGAGATACAAGATCTCCTGAACAGGGGCACTTTGAGGCCTTCCAATAGTCCATGGGCAAGCCCTATTCACATGGTTCCCAAAAAAAATGGCACATTCAGAATGTGTGGAGACTACAGGAGGCTGAACGCAAACACGTTGCCCGACAGGTATCCTCCACCATTAATACAAGATGTTTTCAATAATCTTCATCAGAAAGCATAATTTTCTACAATAGATTTAGAAAAAGATTACCACCAAGTACACATGCATGAAGAGGATATTAAGAAGACTGCAATTATCACACCCTGGGGACTCTTCGAGTATCTACGTATGCCATTTGGACTCAAAAACGCTGCCCAGACATTCCAGAGGTTTATCAATCACATATTCCAAGATTTTAATTTTGTTTTCATTTATATAGACGACATCCTGGTAATGTCGACTGATATGAATGAGCACCGTCGTCATCTTCAATTGGTTTTTGAGAGGCTACAGGAATATTCACTCACTATTAACTTAGAGAAATGCGCTTTTGGAAAAGATGAAGTTAACTTCCTCGGTTACAAACTGAGTGCAGCAGGATATTCTCCTTCACCAGACCGAGTAGAGAAAATTATTAATTATCCAAAACCTTCGACAGTTATAGAACTCAGAAGATTTTTGGGCATGGTAAACTATTATCGTAAATCAATACCCAAGGCAGCAAATATACAAGCACCACTTTATGAGTATGTGAAGTCCTCAGTTAAAAACGACAAGACTCAAATTGAATGGAATGACAATTCATTATCAGCATTCAGCAAGCTGAAGGAAGCTCTAGCAAATGCAACTCTTCTTCATTTTCCTTCAAGTATAGCAAATATTAATTTAATTACAGATGCATCTACAACAGCCATTGGAGCAACTCTGGAGCAGGAAGAAAATGGCGCATGGCATCCTATAGGTTTCTTTTCCAGAAAGCTCACAGCTACTGAACAGCGATATTCAACTTACGATCGCGAACTACTAGCCATCTTTGCGGCTTTAAAGTATTTTGAATATCTGCTAGAAGGAAGGCACTTTGTAATCAAGACAGACCACAAGCCAATCACACACGCATTTCAACAAAAACTGGAGAAAGCATCAGATCGTCAGCGACGGCAGCTAGAATACATATCACAGTTTTCCACTGATATTATATATGTGAAGGGTGATCAGAACGTTGTTGCTGATGCGTTGTCCAGGATCAATGCCATTCAAATGCCATCAAAGCTAACCGAAGAGGAAATTTCGCAAGAACAGAGCAAGGACGTTGAAATGCAAACTATATTGAACGGCAACACCTCTATTAATCTTCAAAAATTGACATTAGGGGGCTATCCAGTTTATTGCAACAGGCAAGATAATTCTGTGAAGCCCTACCTTCCGCTAAGTCTTCGCAGAATTGCTTTTGACATTGTACATGGAAATGCACACCCAAGCATAAGGATTACTTCAAGGGAGTTGCGAAGAAGGTATGTGTGGCCTGGGATTGGTAAAGACGTCACCATGTGGGCACGTCAATGCATTCCTTGCCAAAAATCCAAAATACACAAACATAATCACCTCACTCCTATCCATATTCCTATTCCTGAAAACAGATTTTCGCATATTCACATTGACATAATCAAATTACCTAATATTAATGGTAATCCTTATTGCCTAACAATCATCGACAGATTTACAAGGTGGCCAGAAGCTGTTCCTCTAAAGGACATTTCTGCAGACACGATTGTCCAAGCCCTATTTTCAAACTGGATATCAAGATTTGGTACACCATGTGTGATAACATCCGACCAAGGATGCCAGTTTGAATCAGCTATATTCAAATCATTAATGGATGCAATAGGTGCTAAGAAAATACGGACAACGGCATGTCACCCTCAGTCCAATGGTCTGGTTGAACGCTGGCATAGAACTCTGAAAGCAGCTTTAATGTGCTCTCCTGAGCCCTGGACCAAAGTATTACCTGTAGTCTTACTAGGTTTACGTTCTTCATACAAAGAAGACCTTAAAGCATCTCCTGCTGAGATGGTTTATGGAACCACATTAAGACTACCAGGCGAGTTTTTCACATATAAAGAACTTTCATCTGATCCACAAGCATACCTGGACTGTCACAGAAAAATAATGCGTGATATTAAGCCTACCGCCACAGCTCATCATAATAAAGCCAATATGTTTGTGCTCAAGGACATAAATACATGCACTCATGTATTTGTAAGATCAGATCATATTAGAAAACCACTTGAGCCTCCATATAGTGGACCATATGAAATTATAGAAAGAATTTCAGACAAAGTGTTCAAAATTTCTATGGATGGTACTGATAAGAACATATCGGTTGACAGACTAAAACCAGCATATACAGTTAAAATAGATAACAGTCAACCAAGCTCATCTCAAGAATTTAAATCACATAACTTGGAGTTATCGATTGACCCTCCAAAAAAGATGAAGCCTAAAAAAGTCTCCTTCAAATTTTAATAATCAAATTCATTTATTTCTACCAGATACTTCTTTTTCTTTTAAAGGGGAGTTATATGGCGGAATGAACACCAAATGACAGATGTCAGTTGAATGACGTCAATTGATGACAATGGCGGAATGAACACCATATGACAGATGTCAGTTGAATGACGTCAATTGATGACAAAACTAAATTATATTGGGCTACGTTGATTCGGATCTGGCATCAAGCAAGCTATAACGATCTGATTGTTTTTATACGATCGAATATTATTGTCGCGTGTTTAAAAACGATCGATAAATATTGTATCGCGTTTTTTTCAACGAACGTTTTCTGGTGATCGAAATTGAGATTTGATTTAATGTCATATCAACATCTTTACCAATTACATTAATAAACACTCTTTATCGAGTTGAAAATAAAATTATTGCAATTTCATTCAAGAATTAATTAATAAATAATATATGGCCCACTAGCGCCATATATATATATATATATATATATATATATATATATATATATATATATATATATATATATATGTATAAGTTAACATTGAGAGCTAAAACTTTTAGATTTTTTTTATCAATTTGGAAGTATTTGAGCCTCTGGGAGCAAGGAAAATTGGAGAATGTCCATATTAGTATCCATATTCAGAACCACCCTAATATATATTTTATATATAAAAATGGAGCGCTCTTTCAAATGTCCGAGTAAAACTCGAAAACCGCTGAATTGATTTGGCCAGTCTTAGTCTTGAAAAATTCGTGCCAATCCAGAGAAAGTCCAAAAGGTAAGATGTTATTTTAAATCCGCGCAGAAATTGTACATTTTTAATTTGAAAATTTTTATAGCAGCGTACCTTGAATAAAACAATGAACGGTGGCAAATAAGTGAGATGTCAAACGTTTTTGACAGATGATTTTCAATTACATTTAATAGGATGTTTTACGTGAATATTATTTAATTATGATTAAATTGTGGTAAGTAGTTTTGTTTATAGTTTTATTTATATACAAAAACGTTAGTAAACGGGCCGCAAGTGTTACTAAAAACTAAATATCAACTTTTTTGAAATGTTAATAGGAAAATGCAATTTTTGGCATATTTTTCTCATTATATACTCATTGGTTTTTATAAAATATTTTGTAGGTTATATTATTTTTTATTTGTTATTCAAATTCAAAACCTAAATTTGGTATCGATCAAAGGGACATTTTGCCGAATAACATTTTCCCAGTTATAATTTCGCAGAATTTATCGAGGAATAGATAGTAATATATGAAGGTCCGGGGTTAAAAAAGTCCAGCACCGATGAGTCAAAAATCAGTGAACTTAAGTATTGTTTAACAACATTATTTGAAAGTAAAGGAATAAAGATGTATAACCAGCTATAACCTTGATTTGAAAACGGTAAACATTGAAATGAGGGAAATAAACGGTAAACTTTGAAAATCCATCATAAAAGTATTTTCTTCCGTTGGTAGTTTTTTTAGCATTAGTTAAAAATGTAATTATTTTGTAAAATACCTTTAAAATTATAATAAGACCTTTTTGCCACCTGCGCGTTTCAAGTTACCCCGCCTATAGGGTAAAAAGGTCTAGATAACAAATTTTTGAAAGACATAAAAAAAGCACATTTCTACAATGATGAAGTAGAAGGCAGTTTACTGAACGTAGTCAGATAATTGTTCATTTGATATGTGTTATTCATTGTGATTGTTATGGTTTTCACAATATAGTTTATACAATATTTAGTCAAATTGGGCCTTTGTGCCTGGCCCTGCTCTACATATATACTATTTATTAAATTTACTTTGATTCATCGAATTTTACTTGAAACTTTTCAAAAAGCAGGTCAAAGCAGTATTTTCTATCTCTTCTCGCAGAAATTTGAAAATTTTGTATAAGCTCAGTAGTATTATTTACAATTATACACAAAATCCAGAATCCAAAACAAATCTGAAAAACTTAAAACGTAATCAATAAGTCGAAAGACCAAAAAATACTCGGATTGGATTATGATTATACCATGTTTTCTATAGAAAGTATATAAAACTTCCAGTTTGATTGTATTGACAAGATATAGACAAACTGATGGGGCTCTAAATATTATATATATATATATATATATATATATATATATAAATAAATAAATATATAAATATATATATCTTATATATAAAAATGGAGCTCTCTTTCAAACGTCCGAATAAAACTCGAAAACGGCTGAATCGATTTGGCCAGTCTTAGTCTTGAAAAATTCGTGCCAATCCAGAGAAAGTCCAAAAGGTGAGAAATTATTTCAAATCCGCGTAGAAACTTTACATTTTTAATTTGAAAATTTTTGTAGAAGCGTAATTTAAATAAAACAATGGACGGTGGCAATTTCGTGAAATGTCAAACGCTTTTGACAGATGCTGTTCAATTGAATAATAGGATGTTTTACGTGAATATTATTTAATTATGATTAAATTGTGGTAAGTAGTTTTGTTTGTAGTTTTATTTATATACAAAACCGTTAGTAAACGGGCCGCAAGTGTTACTAGGAACTAAATATCAACTTTTTTGAAGTGTTAATATGAAAATGCACTTTTTGGCATATTTTTCTCAAACACGGTGCTCTGATAGATCTCATTTATATAATTATATACTCATTGGTATTTATAAAACATTTTCTAGGTTATATTATTTTTTTATTTATGTTATACAAATTCAAAACCTAAATTTGGTA